GTCTGCAGAGGAGGGAGTAATCAGGGCAGACCGAGGCCTCATGGGGAAAGCTTCTGGAGGAAGTTTGCTCCTGAAGAAGTGTTTTCTGTGGGCGCCTGGGTGGCTCAGTCGGTTGAGCATCCAACTTCGGCCCAGGTCGTGATCCCGTGCTTCCTGGGTTCGAGAACTGCGTCGGACTCTGTGCTGACAGCTTGGAGCCTGGAGCCTACTTCAGATTCTGTGTTTCCCTCTTTCTCTGCCCCTCCCCCAGTCTGTCTCTTGGTCTCCCAAAAATGAATAAACATTAAAAAAAAAACAACGAAGTGTTTTCTGGATGACAATGGATGCTTCTGCCCAGGAGTGGCGCTAGTGACTCTGTGTTGCTGTCACTGGGGATGATGAGGCAGGATAATGATTGAATGAGGAGTGATGCTGCAGGTGGGCAGCTGGAGGGTACCTGAGGCCCTGTGCAGTCTTGGGATTGCATTCCTGGTCCTCCTGGGTCTCCCCTTTGACAGCGGAGTACTTTCCTCAGGAGAAACCAGAAGAACGCGCACCCTTGGTCCCAAAGCTCCATCCTGTCCTTTTCTTTGGGGCTTTGTGGCTGCTTTTTGGCATTATTGTCACCATTTAACAGATGAGGAAATTGAGGGGACTTGTGCAGGGTCTCACAGTGGCTGAGCCAGATCTTTGGCCCTGAGGCCACGACCTTTTCCACAGCCCCATACTGCCCTTGAGGGGGTTGCCAGCCAGTCCTCTCCTCCGTCACAGTAGCCTCTCTCTTTCCTGGTGTTAGGGAGTGTTGAGAGCAGACGGAAGCTTCATGTGATCCCACGAGCCAAGAAGGGTGTGGAGGGGCAGCCCCCCGGCCACGGCAGCCACATCCTCTGCATGGCCATCTCCTCTGACGGCAAGTACCTTGTAAGGCAGGGTTGGCCCTGGGAGTGGGTGAGAGGCCCGGGCACACATCGGGTGCCTGGGGCCATTGTCATCATCTCCACAGGCTTCGGGTGACCGCAGCAAGCTCATTTTCATTTGGGAGGCCCAGAGCTGCCGGCACCTGTACACTTTCACGGGACACCGGGACGCTGTGTCGGTAGGAACTATGGATGTTTGGCGGTGCTTGGGTGATGGGGTGAATGAGGCAGGGGGTCCTTGAGGTCACAGAACCTGTACTTCTGTGCAGTCGGTGGCACTGTAAAGGACATAAAGGGGTGAAGGGATAGGGAAGAGCTGGGAGAGGCTGAGTGGGCTTGCCTAAGAAGCAGGGAGCCCTCTGAGAAGTCTGCAGCTGCTTGATGGCTAGGGAGTGTGCCCTGACTCCTGTGCTTTGTGACCTGCTTTTCGGGAAGTCCTCCCTGGGCCTGACCCGTCTCGCCTGCCGTAGTCCAGGTCCCCTTTCACCTGTTCTCTGTGTACCCTTAGGGGCTGGCCTTCCGCAGAGGCACCCACCAGCTCTACAGCACGTCCCACGACCGCTCTGTGAAGGTGTGGAATGTGGCGGAGAACTCCTATGTGGAGACACTGTGAGTGTGTGCGGGGAGAGGGTGTGCGGATGTGTGTGCTTGTTCATGTGTGACCCATCCTGCCTCTGCCCCCCTCCAGCTTTGGGCACCAGGACGCCGTGGCCGCGCTGGATGCCCTGAGCAGGGAGTGCTGCGTGACGGCCGGGGGCCGAGACGGGACGGTGCGCGTGTGGAAGATCCCGGAGGAGTCCCAGCTTGTCTTCTATGGCCACCAGTAAGGCGATCCGCTGGGCCGGGTTGGGAAGGGTGTTGGGGAGAGGGGCCATGCCCCTTACTGCTCCTTTTGTCAGGGGCTCCATCGACAGCATCCAGCTCATCAATGAGGAGCACATGGTGTCGGGTGCAGATGATGGGTAAGAACTGCCTTTTGGATGTCTCATGCCACTGCCACTGCTCCTGGACTTGCCTCCTGGAATCCCCCTGTGCGGCTGGTGTGATTCCTTTCCGCTGAGTGGCCTTTCTGCCCTACCCCAGCCCCTCATGATCATATTCTCCGTTCGCAGCTCTGTGGCCTTGTGGGGCCTCTCTAAGAAGCGGCCACTTGCCCTGCAGCGTGAGGCCCATGGGCTGCGGGGGGAGCCAGGCCTGGAGCAGCCCTTCTGGGTGTCATCGGTGGCAGCCCTTCTCAACACGGACCTTGTGGCTACAGGTGGGTGCTCTTTGAGGCAGGGAGGAGGGGGTTGCAGGGTGGGCTGGCGTGGGGGTGCCCACTGTCTCCCTGTCTCCCACAGGCTCCCACAGCTCTCGCGTGCGGCTCTGGCAGTGTGGGGAGGGCTTCCGACGGCTTGACCCTCTCTGTGACATTCCCTTGGTGAGTGGGGCTCTAGTGCCCAGCCTGTCTTTGCCACAGTCCCGAGGCCCAGGAGCTCGTGGCCCCTGGAATTAGACCCTTACTGTATTTTCCTACCAGAATGGAGGCTCCTCAGGTCAGGGCCAGCTATGACTTCTCTTTTTTATAGTCCCAGCTCCTAGCATAGGACCTGACAGGAACCCTCCCTCCTTTTTTTCCTCTTCCTCTTCCCTTCCTCCCCTTTCCCCTTTTCTACTCCCTACCTTGTCCTGGGTGCAGGGGAACAAGGCAGGGACAAGGCAGGGAACATTGTGTGCAGAGCCATGGAGGGCCTGGTGCTGTGATGGGTTCTGTGAGGCTGGTGCCAGATTGACACCAGTCTAGGGCTTGTGAACGTGTGGCACCCTAAGGGACAGTGGCAGGATGGTCAGCGACATCTGGTGACAGTGAAGGGCTTGGTGATGGTCATGGGGTCTCTAGGATCCCACAGCCAGGAGCTAAGCCCTGGGCTACCCCTGACACCCGACGTACTTGGCATACACTGTCTCCTTAAATCCTCACAAATATCACTGTGCGGCTGCTGCTCTGTTATCATCCACCTCACAGGTATGGAGGCTGAGGCCCTGACAGGTCAAGGGCTGGTCTGGGTGCAGGAGGCAGAGCAGGGATTTAACCTGGCCTGCTGAGGCCAAGCCCTTGGCTGTGAGGCTGGGGCTGTGGTGTTGGGGGAATCTGTTCTCACATCTTCCCATGTCTCTCCCTCTTCTCAGGTGGGCTTCATCAATAGCCTCAAGTTCTCCACCTCTGGGGATTTCCTGGTGGCTGGGGTGGGGCAGGAGCACAGGTATGAGGCATCCTTGGAGGGGTGAGGGTGGTGAGGCTGGGCTACCTGGTGGGACTGGGGGTGGTGGGGGCTGGGCCTGGCCTCAGCTGCTCCTTTCGTTTTGTCTTCTGCAGGCTTGGCCGCTGGTGGCGCATCAAAGAGGCTCGGAACTCCGTCTGCATCATCCCCCTCCGCAGGGCCCCCAGGCCCCCCACTGCCGGCTCCTGACTCCTCTCCACTTTATTTAAGTCCTTCCCAGGCCAGGCCCTGCCCTCTTTGTATTAAAAGCCTCCTCTTTTGGGCCTTGTCTCTTGCAGCTTCTTGGGCGGGGACAGCGGGTGATGGTGGCACTGTGGCTTGGAAAAGGCCAGGGAGGGACAGGGCTCCCACAGTCTCCATTCTGCCCCTCTGATGGCAGAGAGCTTTTTATCCTTTTCCATGGAACTTGGGGATGGAGACCTCAGAAAGCCCCTGGTCCCTAAGTATCCTCTGTGACCTTATTAGGCCAGGTCTCTACCCACTGCTCTGGGCTGGTAGGTGTCAGAAGCTGACCTCTCAGCCAGGAAGCCATGGCTGTCCAATTATGTGTTGGGGCTGGCTGTGGAGTCTGAGAACTGACAAGACCACTAGGCCTACAAGTCAGGGTGTCAGGGTGACCTGCCCCCCACCCCCGCCATTCCTGCCAGGGCCAGGTCAAGAACCTGGAGGGGACAGACTGCCCCTGGGGTGGGAGTGACACGCTACACTGCTTATTGCCTGGGGACAAGTGTCAGACTTAGGAATAGTGTGGTCCCCTCAGGAAGCCACAGGCTTCTCTCCTGCTCCCATGCTCTTGAGGCCTCACCCTCAGACCTGCTCCTGCCTGCTCTCATTCTTCTGAGGCCAGCGGGGTCAGGTTCAAATCAAACCCCCAAAAATCCTGTTCGAGGTCAGAAGACGTCGATAGAATTCATTTCATGTGTCTCTCCTCCAATTCAGCTCAATGATGGCATAAACATACCTCCTGAAAGACACTGCAAAGCAACACTGAAGTATACCTTAATATACTAACCCCTTTCCTATGGGCGTGCTCCTACTAGGGGAAATCCACAGCCTTTGAATCCTTGCTCCCCACTAAGTAATGCATCATTTTTCTTCTGACTGCTTTTATGATTTTTCTTGAGATTTGATATTCAGCAGTTTAATTACATGTGTGGGCATGGTTTTCTTTCTTTTTTTTAAAATGTTTATTTATTTTTGAGATGGAGACAGAGCGCGAGCGGGGGAGGGGCAGAGAGAGAGGGAGACACAGAATCCTAAACAGGCTCCAGGCTCTGAGCTGTCAGCAGAGCCCAATGTGGGGCTCGAACCCACAAACTGCGAGATCATGACCTGAGCCGAAGTCGGATGCTCAACCGACTGAGCTACCCAGGCGCCCCAAGGCATGGTTTTCTTGAATACATCTTTTTCTTTTTTATTGTGTTAAAATACACAACAAAATTTACCACTTTTAATTTACCTTTACTTTTTAATTTACCTTTACTTTTTAATTTACCTTTACTTTTAATTTAATTTTTAATTTACCATTTTTAAGCATACAATTCAGTGGTATTAGGTACCTACACATTGTGCAGCTGCCGCCACTGTCCACCTGCCAAAAGCTTACAAATCTGAAACTCTATACCTATTAAATAATACCCCCCCCCCAACACACACACAGGCCACCTTCTCACGAGCCCCTAGCAACCACCATTTTACTTACGATTTTGACTACAACTAGCTCCTATAAGTGGAATTATACGCTATTAGTCTTTTTGCGACTAATGCATTTCTGATGTATTTCACTTCAGATAATGTCCTCAAGGTTCATTCATGCTGTAGCAGGTGTCAGAATTTCCTTTCTCTTAAAGACTGAATAATATTCCATTATACGTATATGCCACATTTTGTTTATCCATTCATCCACCAAATGGATTGCTTCCATGTTCTAGCTATTGTGAATGATGATGCTCTGAACACAATTGTACAAATATTTCTCCAAGACTCTGCTTTCGGTTTTTTTGGAGGGGTGTATGCCTAGAAGTGGAATTGCTGCGACATATGGGAATTTTATGGTTAATTTCTTGAGGAGCCTCCATACAGTTCTCTACAATGGCTACCATTTTACATTCCCACCAACAGTGCACAAAGGTTCCAATTTCTCCCCATCCTTGCCAACACTTGGGTTTTTTTGTTTTGTTTTTTGATAGAGCCATCCTAATGAGTGTGAGGTGGTATCACCTTTCACTTTTGACTTGCATTTCCCTAAAGATTCATCATGTTGAGGATCTTTTCATGCACTTCTTGGCCACTCAGATATTTTCTTTGGATAAATGCTTATCCAAGTCCTTTGCCCATTTTTTAATTAGGTTGTTTGCTTTTTTTGTTGTTGATTGAGTACATCCCCTTTGGTGTTTGCTGAGATTCTTGAATTTGTAAATTTATGCCTTTCACAAATTTGGGCAGTTCTTAGCCTTGCTTCAAAAGTTTTTTCTACATCAACTTCTTTACTTCTGGGACTCTAATAACATAAGTGTTAGACCTTTTAATATTGTCCCACAGATTGCTGAGGCTCTTTTAATTGTTTTCACAATATTATTTCTCTCTGGATTATTTCATTCCTGTTGCTCTCTATTCAAGCTCACTGATTTCTCTGTCATCTGCATTCTGCTAATGAGCCTGCCAGTGAGTTATTTCAGATATTGTATTTTACAGTTATAAAATTTCCACTTGGTTCCTCTTTAAGTTTTTTGTTTTGTTTTAATTTTTTTAAGTTTATTTATTTTGAGAGAGAGAAAGCACAAGTTGGGGAGGAGCAGAGACAGGGGAGAGAGAATCCCAAGCAGGCTCCGCACAGTCAGCACAGATCCTGATGTGGGGCTCGAACTCAAGAACCATGAGATCATGACCTGAAACGAAATCAAGAGTTGGGACACTTAACCAACTGAACCACCCAGGCGACCCTTGTTTGTCTGTTTTCTAGTAATCTCTGCACCTAATGGTGGGCTCAAACTCATGATCCTGAGATCAAGAGTTGCATGCTCTACCGATTGACCCAGCCAGGCATCCCTCTTTTGTTTTATCTTAGTTTTTATGTCTCTTCTGAGAACTATGTTTTTGTTCATAGTTCACCTTTACCATCATGGAAGATAGTTACAACTGTTTAAAACGTTGTCGTCTGATACTTGTAAACATTAAACTTGTAAACGTTGTCGTCTGATACTTGATACTTGTCTTTTTCCTTAAGAATTAATCAGATTTTCCTAGATCTTTATAAATTGAGTAATTCTGGATTGTATCCTGGATGTTTCCTCTAGCCAAGGAGATGATTTTTCAGAAGCTCATGGTGCTACCACTGTGACAGCTCTATGACTTTGCCATGGGGCAGAGCCGTGGGAGAAAACAAAAACAGGAAAATGGGGGGTGGGGTGGGGGAAGGGATGCTGTCCATAATCTTTGGCTTGAGGAGGTGACTTTTTTTGACCGTCTGGTAAAAAAGAGGGGCTTTCTCTTGGATCATTTGCCACCCACACTAGTGCAATTCTGTGTTTTGAGACACCTTCAGCTCTGATGTGGAAACAAATTGACAGTTCAAATTTTGTCTTTCTTCCCCAATCTACCTGCTATTGTCCACTTTTCAGAGTCCAGTTGCTTTCTCCCCAACTTTTTTTTTTATTTTTTTAACGTTTTTATTTTTGAGACAGAGAGAGACAGAGCATGAACGGGGGAGGGGCAGAAAGAGAGGGAGACACAGAATTGGAAGCAGGCTCCAGGCTCTGAGCCATCAGCCCAGAGCCCGATGTGGGGCTCGAACTCACGGACCGTGAGACCGTGACCTGAGCTGA